CGCAGGCGGGCGGGCAGCAGGAGTCATCAGGGTGCGTCCTGCGGGCCAGCAAAGGCGGGGAGATGAACCCACACCCGCAGTGGCGCAGAGGGGCGGTCCTGCTCTGGTTTTGTCTTATTAACTCTGGGGTGTGGCTGTTTCAGGCCTGACCTGATACTTTCTGAGAGCTCTTACGGTGCAGCTACCTACAGCATAAAAGCACCAGTCACCTCACCGTCGTTTTATTTTTAATTTTTGGAAAAAAATTCATATAAAATATATTAGTTATATTTTTCCTCCTCCTGCAGTTCTCTGATCCCCCACCTCCCCACCCACCCAACTTTATGTTCTTTTTCTTTCTGTCTTTCAAATTAAAAAGAAAAATTCACATACTATTTGGATCATCTCAACACTTTGTTGTCTTATTGGGTTTTATAGCCCTCTAGTTTTCCCAGATGGTTCTGGCCTTGTCTTCTCAAGGCTCAACCTTCCACTTGCCTGGCTAGTAAAGGACTTGGGAAGGAATGGATTTTCCTGTGCTAATGGGCACGGAGCCTCAGGAGGATGCCTGCGCATTGCTCCAGTCATTACGACCAAGCATTTTCTGAGCGGTCCCTCAGCGGCCTTTTGAAGTCACGTTGCCTCAGAAAGCTGCTATTGTTCTCAGATCTCAACATGGAAGAGATCAAACTTTGCGTCTTCAATTGAAACATTAAAAAAAAAAAAAAAGTGGTTGTGGTGGAGAGGGGTTGCATTCTAGAGGATTTGGAGCAAGCAGTCTTACTGTTTAAGGTGCAAACCAAACCAGAGACGTCATAAAAGCCTGCACTGGACAGAAAGGCTCTTCATCCTTAGTGTGGTGGGGTTAGTTGCCAGCGGAGGTCATGCTGGGAGCTTGGTTTGGGAACCAGCCTTTCCATTGAGATTTTCTCTTCCTCAGCTGAAGACATTAACTTCGACTTTAAGCTTCCAAATAGTCAGTGTGTTATAGGCAGAAAACTAGGAGAGTTTTTTTTTTTTTAATGTCACCGAATTTGGTTAGCATTTGTGTGACCTACCATTCATTCAAAGTGCTGTGAGTTCCAGAGATGTTTAATAACTGCTCAGTGTTGTTGGGAGGTGGGCTGGAATTGTCTGACAAACGTCATCTGTATAGTGAGTGATTGCCTCAAGCTACAGAACACGCAAATGCAGAAGGATCCCAGAGGAGAGGCTAAGGGAAACTTTTGATTTGCTCAAGGGGACCAGGGAATCTTAAACTTCTTCCACCCACAACTCCCTTTCTCCCAAGAAATTGTCACATGATCCAAAGTATATAATCTATAAAATAGGCATACAAACAAAACACTGATAATAAATCATAAAGTTATTTTAAGATAATATCTATTAATTTTACAGTTTATTAAAGATGAAGTCAAACTTGTGTACTACTGAGATGTGCTGTGGTTTGTGGCTTTTTGTGTTTGTTTTGCGGACCCGGTTTTACTATGTAGTCCTGGCTGGCCTACAAGTCCCACTGTAGACCAGGCTGGCCTCAAACTCACAGAGGTCCCTCTGCCTCTGTTTCCCAAGTGCTGGGATTAAAACTGTGCATCACCGTGCTTGGCTTTGTTTTTTTATTTTTACATAATTAAATCTGGTTGTCTATTTGATACTGCAGGGCAGAGAGCATCCTCAGTGTTTTTTCAGAGTTGAATGATATTTTGATACTATAACTGCCAACACTAAGATTACCGCTTCAAATCAATATATAGTACAAAATGGAAGAAATGTGTAAGAGCTATTTCAGAAGTTGTTGGAAATTCCATCCTAACTCTATGGCAAAATTCATCAACATAAATACAATGAAACTCGAGCTAACAATTCAACAATTTTAAAGGTCAGATTTTTTTAAATACAATAAATATACATAGAGATACAAATCTGGTACACATGCCGAGGAATGACAGTATTAAGAAGACCTCTGTTTTTCCTAAGTATACATACCATTATGTTTCTATGAGATTAGGGAACTTGGTGTGGTAAAAACACTGTAGTTCAGCACAGACAACACTCTCATATTTGACCTGTGTTTCAAGCCAAGTTCGTTGGTATTGTATGGTGTGACAACATGCTCAGCTCAAAGTGTACATGTTGTGTGCTCCGAACCAAGGCTGCAGTTGCAAGCATGGAGGAGCACATGTCCTCAATCTGCCAGAAACCCCTCAGATTCATCACACATTTGATTTTGAATTAGTTTTGGATCGCTGCACTTCCAAACCTTTTTACTGCTGCCAATTTTGTTTGCAAACCCCCACATTCAGTTATGTGACCCCATATGGAGTTGCAACTCAGAGTTTAAGAAGCTGGGGTAGAGACAAGGTGGGCACAGATTATAGAAGTCAGAGGACCCTTTGCTCTGGCTTTGTATAGTGGAAATTTCTTCTGGGCTCCAATGCAGCTCCAAGTCTGAAAGTTCCCTCCCTGTCCAGGAGGCCTGGCTTGCTAAAGAGTCAGGAACGATAGGTGCAGATTTGGCTAATTATTGGTATTGCAAGTTTTGAGGAGGAGATGAGGAAGGTTTGATGGGGAAACTGGTCAAAGTATGACTCAGCATTTTAAGAGAAGCCCCCAAATTTGGTAATAGGTTAGAATAAGGAAAAATAAAAACAAAAGTAAAAGACTCCTATTTTGGAGCAATAGTGCTAGGACAATTGGATAGTCAAATGTAAAAGAATGACATTGGAGTAAACGAATAAAGAAAATGATATATACATAGCATGAAAAAGAATGAGATTCTGTCATTTAAGGCAGCATGGATGAGTTTGGAAAACATTACGTGAAATGAAATAACTTAGGCAAATACTTCATGTTCTCATATGTAGAAGCTATAAATTGATCTCAGACATGTATGGATATAATGGTGGTTGCTAGAATCTAGGAAGGGCTGGGGAGGGGAAACTGAGGCAAATTGGTGGGCATAAAATTGCAGTTAGAAGAAATAGGTCCTGGTGTTCTATGGCATAGTAGGGTGACTATAATCAACAATAATTTATTATGTATCTCAAAATGGTTGGAAGAGAAGACTTTGGATATTCATAATGCAAATAAATGTTTGTGGCATTGCATATGCAAATTATGTATATTTAATCATTATATGCTGTATATATTTTAAAATATTACACTATAATCCATATACATATATAAGTAACAAAATTTGAATAAGCTATTATGTATGAGCTAAAAAAAGGTCACCTTTCTTATATACAAAAATATCTCCAAATTGATCCTAGTCTTAAGTGTATAAATGCTAAATTCTAAAATTCTTACATAAAAGCACAGAGGTACATTCTCTTGACCTAGGCAGAGATGTCTTAGATGGATATGATTGCAAAAGGACAAGTGACAAAAGAAATTGAATTTCATCAAAATATCAAAGCTTTGTGTTTCAAAGGCCAACATTAAGGAAGTGGAAGACAGGCTGGAGAGGTGTCTTATCACATGGTAACAGTGCTTGCTGCTTTTACACAGGATTTGAGTTCAGTTCCCAGCACTCATATGGTGGTTTGAAACCATCTGTAAATCCAGGTTCTGATATCATCTTCTGAACTCTGAATGAACTACATATACGTGGTGTGCACGCATACATTCAAGCAAATCACTCATACATGTAAATAAAAATGAATTCTAAAAAAAGGAGGTGGAAGAGACAATCCACACAATAGGAGAGAACTGTTTGTGAAGTCTATATCTAATGAGAAATTTGAATTTATAGTGTATAGCAACTCAAATAGGGTTGGTGAGATTGCTCATCTGATGAAGGCATCTGCTGTGCAAACCGGATGACCTCTACTAGGGCATCATCAGCAATCATTAGCCATCCCTAGAATGCACAATTGGAAACCCCTTCACACTTAATATGTTGGCTAGACTTCAACAAAGATAATAGAGGACATTGTATAAGATGTGCAGCATTGGAAACCTCATTCGATACTGGGAGTGTGGAAAATGGTCCAGCCCCTTTCGAAGGTAATTTGGTAGCTTTTCGAAAAGTAAGCATGGTATTATAATTGTATTCCTATGTATTTAGCAAGAACTGAGAATGAATTTGCCTAAGAACTTCTATATGGATGTTCACAGAATCATCTTTCACAATGCTCCAAATGCCCCAACTTAAATTCATCATCTAGTGAATGACAAAACGTGATCTTATTGTGCAATGGGATGTCCATAAAGAGGAACAAAGTGCATGTCACAGCATAGGTGAACCTTGAAAATGTTAAGTGAAGAAACCCACCAATGATCATATACTGTGTGTTTTTATTTATTTACGTAAAATGCCTAGAATAGAAAACTCTATAGAGAAAAAGCACATTAACGGTCACTAGGAACTGGGCATGGGAGGATTAGGGGATTATTGATATAGCCTTTGTGATGGAGAAGAAAAGGTTCTTAAGTTAACTGTGTGGATAAGCACACAAGTCTGAATTTACTGAGAGACACCAAATGGAACATATTATGGCTTGAGTCATAACTGTCTTCTGAAAGCTCCCATTGAAAGCTTAGTCCCACTGTCCACAGCAGGATTCAGAGATGAAGGAAGTGACTGAATCATGAGGGCTTTGACCTCATTGATGAATTAATCCAGTGGGGAGTGTAATAATTTAATAGGGGATGTTGGGAACTCTAGAAGAGGGTGCCTAGATGGAGGAGTATGTTCCTAGGAGTGTGCTGTTGAAGGTCTATCTTGTCCTCACTGTTGCTCCTGAGTTTCCTATGATGTGAGGCGAGCATCTTTAAGAGATCCTCCACATGTTCCCCTAATATAATAATTTTGCCACACCACTGACCTAGAATCAACACAGTCAACTCACTGTGAACTGAACTGTGAACCCAAATAAACCTTCTCTCCTTGAAGATGATTTTCTCAGGCATTTTGTCACAGTGACAAGGCTAACTAGCGTGGTATTGTCTGAGTGGATGATCCTGGATGGTGCACATCTGTTTGCTCTGGGTTGGATATGGCCATTGCCACCTTGAATCAGAGCAATTGTGGTCAGCCACAGGAGGCTCTCTTGAGGACTGGCTTACTAATATGCTCTTGTGGAGGGAAGTGGGTGTGGCCTCATAAGCTCACAGGCTTTCTCTAACCTTTCCGAGGTTAGATAAGACAACTAAGGGGGTGATTCGGGTAGTGAGTCTACCCCTGAGTTTCCCAGAGGACACTTCATTGGTGCCACTTTTCATGTTCTCGCTTCAGGTAGTATAATTGCCCATTAGTAAACAACCCATGGGGCGTCCCAGTGATGCAGTGGCCTTCAGTTCACCCGTGCTCCTGTAAGCCGCCCCATTAAACTTACTGCTTCAGGAACCTGCACTTAGAAACTTTTCTTTGGTCTGCTGGTGCCTTCTCAATTCAGGATGAATAGGTTTTTTTTTTTTTTTCTCCCCAGGAAAAGCTATGTAGCATATACTTGTATCTTAATAAAGTTTTTTGGGGGGAGGACTGTGATATGTATCGATGGGTATGCATACATGTGTGTAGAGGTCAGAGGTTGATTTTCTTTTTAAAAATTGCTTTTCATTTTATTTTGGTGGACAGGGCATCT